TAATCTATGCTTAAATTGCACGCTCACGGCCTCCAAACAGGTAAATGACAAACTCTGCATCCTCAGGTAGATTCTAGAGAACAGGCAAGAGCTGTCAGGAGAACTGTCCTAGCACTGGGCCTCAGCTTTTGCACTGGAGCAAGTCTCTGAGCGGGGGTCAAATATGCGATTTGTGTCTACTGCTCCTCCCTTCTCCCCTCTCCTCCCAGGCACAGACAGTGCCTAACCTGTACTCCAGCCCCATACGCTAGCAACATACAGGGTGAAGCATCCGGCTCATCTTCCGAAAGAAGGGTAGGCATCTACCAGGGAAGTTATGGCCAGTTCTGCAACACTCGCCCTTCCTCTAACAAACACCCCCTCGAGGCTATGATGGGACCCAGGATATTGGTTAACACCCCCCCAAGGAATGGAAGGTGGATGATGTGTACACCCAAGAGCTCCAGAAGACTTCACTGTCCAAGCGCTATGCAAACATCGATGCTCCCAACTCCAGCAGATGCTAGGTAACTCCCAGCTTTGTGTGAGTTACCAACGGCACCTTTGTGTCCTGGTGCCTGTCTGTAATGTAACCACGGCTGTTCAGCCAACCCACTGCAGAACTTGAAGGGAATCCAAGTCTCAGCCTTCTGCATTTGTGCTTATCTCATCAGACCACAGTGACCACAGAAAAGTCATTTCCTTTCTGTTGTGAGCACCTCCCACTGTAGACACCATATTGACATCACTTTTTGTAACCGCAAACACAGGAAAGAAGATACAGAACTAGTCAGTCACTCAACTACACACAGCCAGCAACTGATGGAAATCAAACGCGTAGGGTACAACGTTCTCCTGCGCGTACTATTTTCTCCACGTTTCCTCAATATAACCATAAGCAGCTAAGAGAAGGTTCATACCTTTCTCTGAACTATTCCTCACACGCCTCCTCACTAACAGCGTTTTCTTTTGTTAAAAGGTCAAACAGCTTGCTGTTTGACTTGGCATTAGAGCTATGCACCAAGATGGTCATCTCACAGATAAGGACAGAAATAAAGCTATTTGTCCAAGTGGATTTGAACAAGACCCTGGCCTATGAACACTTACTAGTCCCGATCCTGGCAGAACAGCTAAGTAAATCCCAGCAAGCTGCAACATTCACTCTTTCTTAATCAGTGAAACAAAGACAGTATTTGCCTAACTCTTCTATACACAAACATCAGTAAATAGTCAGCAGCAGCCTTTCAAAAGAAAAAGCCTTGTTCTGAGCATCTATGCTACAAGATAAAATGTGAATGTCACAGTAATACCGCAATGCACCTGCAAATTCCACAATTGAAACATGCTTCGATGTCCTTTCAAGTTTGGGATTACAAGAAAGGACTCCAAGAGCGATAATTTTCGGGGCCATTTTAAGCTGAACAAAACCATCACATGAATGGGCAACCCCAATGATCCACCCTACAGAGAAAGGTGAAAGGAAAAAATTACTTATGCAGCTGCATGAATAATTTAGTGACTCTGAAATAACACCATTTATTTCTTTCGATTAGACATTGCCACTTGGTACCGACATCCTCATGTAAAAAAAATGGAAGTAAGTAAGAAGACTCTTCCCAAATATTAGTAAATTTTGCTGAAATTCTTCCAAAGAATTTGTTTCTACACCGCAGGAAGCCTGAGAAATTTCAGCCTAAATTTAGTAAAAACCGGAACAAGAAGATATAAAGAAACTCAGCTACAGCAGGAAAAATAGCTCCTACTACCACACGCTGGTGCCAAAATACCTATAATGGGATAAAATGTTTTATTTACCAGAATATTTTAGAAGTTCTTTCACAACAGTAATTTAGCTTAAGTACACTTTGTTACCAGAGCTCATGCTTCAAAATACAAGACTATTATGTTTTCAAGACTCTTTTCTTAAAAACCCAAGCTTAAATCAGCTACTACATTTCACATTTTCTCTAGTTGCTGGTGAACTGGTAAGAAGATATTCCTCTACACGTGCAGAGGTAGCACCAGTATTTTCCAAACACAACATTTTTGTGCTTGGCAATTTTTAACACTACACGAACACCACTGCTTAAGAAATCCTTTGCAGCTCCAGATGTATTGTGCAAGCACAAACATCTGTCAAGCCTAAGCAGGGGAAACAACTTCTCCGCATTTTCCTTATTTGCTTCCCCAAGAACTCTATGCAGGTCACTAACGTGTCTTCACCAGTCACATCCAACAATATCCATTTTTTAGTATTTTTATATTTATTTTTAATATTTATCTAATCCAGAACATCACCACATCAAGGTAATTTGTCAGACCCTCTCCAGTATCAAAGCAACAGGAGAAACTGGAGATCCTTGCATGCCCATGACAGTTCACAGAGTATCAATTTCCAAAACATACTCTTTGTGCACAGCCTGACAGCTGGAGGCTCTGCTGAATCCTTATCATGCCCTAAGCTCAATTTTCAATGCTTTCTAGCAGACAAAAGGATGTCATCTAAGTGACAACAGTAGGGTGAAAGAGGCTGAAATAAAGGATTTTAGAGCTGTGTTGACTCCATCCTGTTCAAGAGAGTTTACCTTTCAGTCTCCATAAAAGATGCTGAGGCATCAAGTATGTGCACACTGTACCCATGCAAGGCACTCTCTTCAGTTCCTTGTTTTCAGGAGCCTTTAGACAGTGTTTACACTTGAATCATACATAGCACTCCAGGACCAGCTTCACCAATGCCATACAGAGATTAAAAAAAAAAAATCATTTTTTCCCTTTTTATATTATCCAAGTGCACAGTGATTTTCCACCATACTGAACTGGAAGTTCGCATTCAACTGCTTTTTCACTACAAGAGTGATTTAGGGCTCAGTTATAAGAAATGGAATGGCGAAAGGGAAGGACAAAAGAGCTATTGATACTCTACCACTTTCTGATCAAGAGACCTACTGTATGCAGCAACACAGACAATCCCTGCTGGCAAATCACAAAAACAACTATATGCTTTTGTTAGAGCCCACGAACCCCTAAGACCTGGGTGGGGAATTTATTTTTTCCACAAAGATCCACAAAGACCTTTCCAACATCTTAAGCAGACAGTGTTGCCGCAAAACAAGGCAAGGATAAAAAGCAAAGTCAAGAGCTTTATGCATTTTAATAACCCTGTTCTCAAGCCATGTTTGTTCTCAGTGCTTTCGTCAATCCATGTTTTGCAGGGTCATAGCAGGTTGTCAGCAGGACTCTTTGCTGAAGCCAATCTCTAGATAACTAAATCATAATCAAGTTATGGAGGAGGATGGGTTAGATGATCCAGGGAATGGACTGTTTGTTTTACAAGAAGTAGCTGGGATGCTTTGCCTTGTATAGCTTGGCAAAGACAGAGACTGAAAGGGGATATGATTGCTATCTACAAATACATCAAAGGAACAAATGCTGAGGAGGGAGGGGAGCTACTCAAGAACAATACTGGCACAATAGACTAAGAGTATAAACTGGCCATAAATAAAATTTAGAGCAGAAATTATAAAGTTTATCTTGCAAAATATTTTCCAATTAGAACAGCGGGGGCAAAAACTTTGACTGTCTTCATCTGCTTTAGTAATTTTAACCGCCTGGCACCCACAACTGCCCTTGTACAGCGAAGAACACAAATAGGAAGGCAGACTGAAAAACAAGCAACTATGAGATAGCTGGCTCATCATTTATTTCTGGAAGATACCACACTGCCAGACAGACAATAGCAAGGCACAACATTTGCTTACTGCATAGTTTCAGAAGCAGTATTGGGAGGGTATGTATGTGCCCACAGAGAATGCAACTTCCAGCTGAAGGTGGCTTCCTCTCCCCATGCCCCTGAAATTGTGGGGATAAAAGTCTAAGGACTCGAGTGTGCCCCTCCAAACAGCCACACTTTTTTGCCAAGACTGTTGCATGGGAAATGCAATGCCTCCTTCTCCAGTTAGAATGTTTATCAGCCACTGCAACGTAGAACTGAAGACTTTTTGTCCTGCAGTGCCTGCATCTCTCCGTGCAACAAAAAGAATGACATCAGCATAGCTCTGATGCGTGCACCAAGGCAATCTCACAGTTACAAGGGTGCCCGACGGACAGAAGCTGTTGTTTCGCACTCAGCCCACTTGATGTCACTAATGACCGCCGCTCACGAGCAGCTCACTCACTCTTCGAGCTGCAGAATCACAGATTTAGACGACGCAATTCAAAAGGAAAGCACTTAAACACCTTTTATTACATCTATATATTCCTCCACTAATTTTAATGGGTTACAATAAGCTAATTGTCTCCTTAAGAAAGCGGCATTCAAGGAAATGAAAACTTAATTTAGAGTGCAAGGCCTAAGAAATAAGCCTGAAGTACTGCAAAGGACATTAAGGTACCAGCATTTTTTAATGCCTTTTAAAAGCCTCAGTTCCCCAAATCAGGCTGTTAATCAAAAATCACAGCCTTCACTTAGAACTGTCTGGCACCAAAAACTGGAGAAGAAAAAAACCCCAAATTTAACTACACTGCAGCTTTTTCTTTCTGATCTGTCAAAGACATTAAAAATAAGTTACACACTCTTTTTTAAAGTCTTATTTTTGTGAATTCAATTCAGACCTTTCAGACTTCATGATAACGCAAGATGCAGCTCTCGTATTCCCATGCAACGCACGCAGAAGCATACCAAGAACAACTGACTTCTGTGCGTTGGTATTTGCTCTCTAAGCATACAGCAAGTGTCAAGTCCAGAAACACCCATCACTAAATTTTCACGGGGAAGGGCAGAACAAACCAAATCCAACAACTAAAAAACCCTCCTCTCTCAACCCGTTACTCTCACATTTGGCTCTTACGAACATTCCTGAAGCAGGAACATTCAATACACATACATGGTAATAGTTATCAGAGACATTAAACCATGAGAACTCATTTTTCCTTAAGTCTATTTTTCCCCCTTTCAAAACTAGGTCATGTACTTCCTTAGATATATTGACAGATAGTGAGTAACTAAAATCAACTTCACTTACCTCAAAAAAATCCTCCAGGAACCATATACAAAACTCAAGTCAGTCAGGATTGCTAGTAAGAGAGCTGTATGCTTCTAGACAAGAATTTTAGCTTTCACAGCCATCTGCTTGTCCCTTATGGTCTACAAAGGAATAATAACACTTAATTCCAGAGCTCTCAGTCCTTCCCACAGCAACAAACACACACATATGCTTACTACTAAAAGATCCTCAAATTATTGATGAGTGATCAATAACTGAAGCTTCCTATTCCAGGTACTGCCAGCATGTAACTCCATCTAGCAAGCAGTCTGCCAGTTCTAGCTGAATACTGGGTTGGCTTTTCACCAATTTAACTGCTTACCAGTTGTACAGCACTTTTACATCTCATTTTTAGTGAGAAGCTGAGCTTCTCTTCAAGGTTTTACCTTGAAATAACAGGCATGGGAAAAAAGAAAAATCACAGGAGTTACGGCTAGCTGCAGAGAGAGGTGCAAGTGAAAAGTTGCTAATCAACTAAAAAACACCACCACAAAGGAAAAAAGGTGAAGATTCTGCTGAAGAAAAAAAAGAAATTGCAAGAAAGGTGATCAACATTTTCAAATTGAATCGTTGCAATACACAAGCACAATACAGCAAAAAAATAATTTTACTTTAAAGCTGGATTTTTCAAGCCAGTTAGTTTAACCCAGCACAAGAACTATGAGTGTTTTAATTCACCTGTTTTTTTCACAGACACAATTCAGTTGCTATATTAAAAGAAGGACTTCCAGAACCCTTTAGTTTTGATTTTTCATTAAGTTTTCATTGGCTGGAAAACAAGAAAATTAAAGAAAAATAGCAAGTGCCCTTACAAGGCCACAGTGAAGTCTTATCTACAAGAAGTCTCAAAGAACAAAACAATAGGGAGTAAGAGGTTTTAAAATATTTTCATTCCTCTATCTGTTCCAACTTTTAGCCTGAAACTAACCATTAAGGTCACCTCAAAACATTTTCAACAATACAAATACTGTAATAAAAATAATAACAATAATCTGAGAATATTAACAGGCTGGAAGAAGTGCCTTCAGATTAAGGTTAAAAGGGGAGATAGAATTATGTAAAGTCTGTAAAGGATATAAACCACAGTACAGATGTTTAGTCTTGCAAGGGACATCAGACTAGATAATGCAATAGGCCTTCTGGACTTAAAACACCTGACATAATCAAACATAATAAAAATGTAGCAGACTGAAGAGTTTTATAGAAAATATTAACGTGAACTTGTTAAAATGGACAACCGTGTAATATTTACTTCCTGCCACTACTTATAAAATATTCTAATTGTTGAAAATGCTGGAATATCATGCAGGGCTTAGAAACAAGCCAGAAAACACATTCTATGCTGGGACCTCCAGAACAGCCTAATGAAATTACTCAGTATTTGTCCTGCAATTGGAGCATGATTTTTTTCAGTGCTGTAAGACTGGCTTACTTTCTTCTTCCAGTGACCTACCCACCCCTACTTCCTGCTTCGGTCTCACTGGAATATTTTGTTGAAACTTGCATCAAAGTATCAGCTAAAGCAAAACTACATCACAGAAACAATTCAATAAAACTACTGAAATGTAATCTGAGGGCAAGATTTTAGCATCAGACATCCTTCACTCCCAGTCTAAAGCTTTATCTATCAAAGCAACAATTTTCTAGATACAATTTCACAACCCCTCCCATTTGTTTTAGAAGCTAATACAACACACTCTGGTTGGTCATGTCCACGTACCAAGTTACGTCCATATCTATTTAAATGTTTGAGCTTCTTTACAGACTGCACTGAACACATCCCTTCTCTACCCACTGACTGCACCAGCCCCCCCAAATTAACAAAACATGTTTCCTCCAGATCTGAACCAGCGACGGCTCTGCTCCGTTTGTAGGTGCTGCAGTAGAGCTGTCCTTTCCCGGGGCTTCGACAGCAGCAAGCGGTAAGGAGAGAACAGTCTGAGGGCAGCTTAGAGGGAAAGAAAGGGGAAGAAAAAGGAGGTGGCCGGAGGAAGAAAGAGAGGACAATGCACCAGCAAGCATTTATTTAACACTTCTGTTAAAGGAACAGACAGTGCAGGTATGTGAGAAGGGGAAGAGCTAAGAAGTGGATAGTGGGTCAGGCTAAAGTCTGAAGAGGACAAAAGCATGTTTGAAGTTGAACTTCCCAGCCCCACATGGCTATAGGCAACACCCTCTTATCCTGCCTTTCTTATGTCCTCTACTGTCCATTTTGCACCTAAACCGCTTGCAAGCCACACAACACACTCAACTCCAAAACCTGGTCTTGCCAAGTCTCCGATTCACAAGTCTCAACACTTCTTTTTACGCCTGGTGTGAAACCCACCAACAGACTTGTCATCACACAGAAGAAGCTGACCCACACAGAAGACATCTTTTCACCCACTAATTAAAACCAAACCCTAGAAGTCCACACGGGCAACTTTACATCAGCACAGGTAATCAGCATGGTAGTGCTGATTTCCTTCCGCTCTGATTTTTTTCCAGAAAAGCTCAGAAATGACATTATTTGTACAGTTATAGTAAAAACGTGCCAAATCTGCAGAATCCAGCTGGGAAGTGCTGCCAGCACGTCAGGACAGCAGTCTGGTTTTACACCAGACCTCCCAGAAAGTCAGGTACAGACCAGACTCGAGTGCTGCCCAGCAAAAGGATCCTCATCCTCAAGACTGTGAAAGAAAAGGAAAAAAAAAAAAATCAAAACAAAACATCATGTACTCAAGGTACTAAAAAAGCTACCTGAACATCGCTTGTCATCCCATGTACAGCAGAGCTCTTACGGGGCAACAAGGAAGAAAATTTTTTCCAGAAGGTCTGAGAACACAGAAGAAACAGCCAGGCCCCACATCGCTGCCTATGTACACAGAGGCTGCCAAGCCCCCGTAAAAAGACGTTTGGAGGGAAATGCAAATAGCTACCCTAGTCTTTAATCCTAAACAAACACAAACTATCATGTAAACTTCAGATGAGCATTACATAAAATTAGCACCTAGAAAGCAATTCCCGGGATACACACCAACAGAAACCTTTTCAGTTACTCTGTTACAGAAAATAACAATTATAAGAGCTGCTCTGCACACACACAAACCCATTTAAAATACTAGGAAATAAAAGGCATCGACATAGATTAGTTCTGAGAATAAAGTTTTTACCCAGCCTATTAAGAAAAGCCCTTGTGTTTCTGTGTTCTTCCAAATACAAAACACATTAAAAAAATGGAAAATAAATTTGGAATTATACAATTGTAACCAATATGAATCTTTAATGTAACACACCATTGACAGTTCTGCTCCCTGTATCTTGTAGGAAGAAGTTAATTTTCCAACATAGCCTATTTTGAAATGTGTGTTGATTATACGGGACATTATTTAAGGATAAACTTATTACAGTTTTGGCAGTAGTTTCTCTATTTTTTTCCTTCAAAAACATAAAAAAGTTACTTTTCACTTCTTCCCAGAGGAATAAAACAACCAAAGAAAAAACCCACCTCAAACCTTTTATTTCATCCTCTCACCTTTTCCAGATATTTTTTTTTGTTTTAGACTGTTACTATTATTAAAAAATATCCCCATCTTCATCAAACATAGGTAAGGTCAGCTGGTACCTACCAGCATAACTTCTTGATAAACGTGTTTTATCTGCCAATACAGGTCCTAACTTTAACCCTGACAGCCCATAAGCGGCCAGTCACAACTCCAACTGGATGCGCCTCCCCAGTTGAGACATAGACTGACCCAGCCCACACGCCAGGCTCAAGCCTAGCTCACACAGAATCACAGAATCGTAAGGGTTGGAAGGGACCTCAGGAGATCATCTAGTCCAACCCCCCTGCTAAAGCAGGCTCACCTAGAGCATGCTACACAGGACTTCATCCAGGCGGGCTTTGAATATCTCCAGAGAAGGAGACTCCACAACCTCCCTGGGCAGCCTGTTCCAGTGCTCTGCCACCCTCAGAGTGAAGAAGTTCTTCCTCATATTCAACTGAAACCTCTCGTGTTTCAGTTTGCATCCATTGCCCCTAGTCCTGTCGCTGGACACCACTGCAAACAGACTGCTTCCGTCCTCTTGACTTCCGCCCTTAAAAGCTCAGTCTCTACCAGGCATGGCATCAAAGCTAGAAAGGGTGACCAGACAGGCGTCCACCCTCCACCAGCCCCTCGCCCCCTGTGCAGTGCCCTGAGAGCACAGGTAGCCTTTCTAAGCTTCCGGGCTCCACTGAGCAACGGGATGGACTCACGTTGTAAGCGGAGCGCTTTTATTCACGCTTTCCCAGCAGCACAGACGGCATCACTGCCCGCAAAGCAAGAGCTGCTTGTTTAGCCTGATGGAAAAAGACAAGGCAGGGGTGAGGGAACGCACCCCCAGCAGCCCCCCTGTCTCCTCCCTCCCGCCCAGGGCACCACACGCACCGAGATGTCCGGCACGGGGGCATCTCCGGGCGGCTGCTCTCCCAGCCCAAACCCCCATCCTCCCCC